CGGCGCGACGATCCCCGACACTAGTTAAGGAATTACTTCAACTGCTCAACATCCATAAAAGCCGGACTACCCCTTATCACCCTGAAGGTGATGCTCTCCCTGAGAGATTTAACAGAACTTTGCTTGATATGTTAGGTACTCTACAGGTTGATGATAAACGCACTTGGAGTCGTAAAGTTGAAGCCATGGTTCATGCTTACAATAGCACAAGACATGAGACTACGGGATTCTCCCCTTATTTCTTAATGTTTGGAAGGGAGCCTAGACTGCCAATAGACCTCTTGCTAGGGGTCTCCACTGATGGTGTCGATCATCAAAGTCACTATCAGTATGTAGCTCGTCTGAAAGATACCCTTAAGTCAGCTTATCGTTTGGCTGAAGAAAATGCTGCCAAGATAAATGAAGGGAACAAAAGGAGGTTTTGATCGTTGTGTGAGATACAGAGAATTGAAACCTGGTGACCAGGTATTGCTTAGAAACTTGGCCCTTCTGGGAAGCATAAATTAGCTGACCGATGGAGGAATGAGATTTTAACAGTGGTGAGCAAATTACCTGGAATTCCTGTGTACAAAATAAAGGGACCAGAAGGTAGAGTAAAAGCTTGGCATCGAAACCATGTGCTCCCTATTCCTCAAGTCACTGATGATGATGACTCAGAAGAAGATACTGTGGGAAGGGACTCCCCACAACCTCAGGCTAACATTACAACTGACCCTCCTGACTCTAATGAGAGTGACTGGACTGTAGTTCCTGAGATTCAGAGCCCAACAGCTTCTCCTCTTCCAAGAGAGTCACTGAACCCTAGATCTCCAGAGTTTGTGCCTGAGTCCGTGAGTACGCCTAACCAAGGATCTAGTTCTACTCCACAATCAGTGCCATCTCTTCCCATGACACAAAGCCCTCATTCAGTACCTGAAAATCAGGGATTACCTCATAGGGAAGTGCGTAGAGGAGGAAGGGTTAGACATCCACCACCTGTTTTGACTTATGATACTTTGGGAGATCCCAGCATCATTCCTCAGCCCCATCTATACCATGCCTGGGTAGGGGCAGTATCTAATCTGGTCAATATGCTACCTGTATTTGCATCACCTGGCATGTATTTATATACTAATCTGTTGTTTTCTTTAGCAAACCATTGTAATGGAGAGAGAGGACAACGTTGTGTATTTGAAATTGAATTTCATTATTGTATATATAATGTGACCTTCCTTGACGGGACGTAAAGGTTTCACCAGGGGGAGAGTGTAGGGAACTGTTATTTTATACACTAGTTGTGGTTTGTTTATGTTCATATACAGCCACTACCATAGAGGTCCCATTACAGACAAGTCCCTAGGTGTGCTTCCTGCCCCTACAAGGAGGTCAAGAAACCCCGGGATGTTATATAGTTTATTTTTCCAGGAAGTATCAGGCAGAGGGTTCCAGCCTGCCATGTGCTATGTATCTGGGGAGAACTGTATGGGGATTCTGTGAGTAATGATCCAGATTAACAAGGCTGTTATCTATGTAGTTGTTACTGAAGCAGATTAGGTCTGCCTCTGTTATATTTCAACTTCTGTATAGGAACCCTAATATCTCTGTAAGAGAGAGATTTGTGGTTCAATTATCATTATTCTATTTACACTGCAGAATCCTTATAGTTGTCTATATATATATATATAGATCCGTGTTTTCACCTGCATAAGACTGTCAGGGGAACTTTCTGTTAATTGCAGTGTATCTTTGCAGCCTCTTTGCTTAAAGCCATAGCACCCTTATTGGTCTGGATCTCCCTTTAGCTAGGATTAGCATAGGGAGCGTTGGATAGATTAGGCTAGAGGTAGGTTAGGCATCCGACGGCCACTTACACAGATAGAGGCCCGGTTGCAGTGACAGCCCAGTTTAGGGATAGGGACTAAGAGTGAGGATAGATAGAGCATTTTATCCTTTTAGGTGATGCATCGCTGATCTTCAGACAAGCAGTGCAATCATCCGCATGTTACTTGGACGCCATCACAGCATCTAAAGTGGAAGCGTGCATCTTATTGACTCTCACCTCTCCAGGGGCCCCTGCAACCGGACTGCCTATAACCCATGGTTGGAGGTATTCTGTATACTACATGCACATATACCCGGGTATAATTGCAACCTCCCCAATTTATGGTAAATTGTAATTCCTGAATGTTATTCTTATGCATCCTGTTTTATGTGGCTGCTTTATATAAACTTTGCATTAATCTCATACAGGTGTGTGACATGTTTTCATGTTAGAAATATAAGCTGGGGGCATTAATACTGCTATGTATAGTTACTGTAAGTTGTCTGCCTGTTACATTCCTAGAAAGGGGTGAGTCTCCTCAATTGCAGGATCCCTATTCTAGGTGGAGGCACTGCCATTTGTATTATCACAACCCCCTCTTCCATATAGCGAAGGCTCAGGATTGCCTACTCATATACAGGTTAGCGCCATAGCTTGTTTGGTGTGGGCCATTTCACATAACCCCCCCAAAACAGGGCTACAGACACAAATCAGAAATAAAGGACAGAGTGTTAGAAGGAATGTAGGGGTTCCCTTTGTGACCTGGTATAGTTCCCTGAGGTTTGGTGAGATTATCCAAGAGAAATGGAAGAATCCTTATTATGAGAGTGTCATGAATGGGGGTGCCAAAGATTTGGGTAAGAGGGAGGCCAGCTGACACCCAAGGTGTTGTCCTCCATTATGTATCCTTGGCAATCAGTAGATTGTTGCTAGAACCCCCCCATGTTCCCCGGTCAAAACACACAGGTAACAGCAGTACAATAGCATGCACACTCTAATAGCCCATGGCTACCACCAGGTGTCAAGGACACAAGCCTAGCTACCCAAGGCACGGACCTTGTTTGGTGTAGTAGGAAATAAAGGCAGAACTTGATTTTGGTAGGATAACCCTGCTGTGATATAGTATTCACAGCCTGCAGTACCTCTCTATACACAGGGCTGTATATGACATGTTCCTGACATGTTCCTGACCACTGCACTCTATACACAGGGTGTATATGACATGTCCCTGACCACTGCACTCTATACACAGGGCTGTATATGACATGTCCCTGACCACTGCACTCTGTACACAGGGCTGTATATGACATGTCCCTGACCACTGCACTCTATACACAGGGCTGTATATGACATACTCCTGACCACTGCACTCTATATACAGGGCTGTATATGACATACTCCTGACCACTGCACTCTATGCACTGGGCTGTATATGACATACTCCTGACCACTGCACTCTATACACAGGGCTGTATATGACATACTCCTGACCACTACACTCTATACACAGGGCTGTATATGACATACTCCTGACCACTACACTCTATACACAGGGCTGTATATGACATACTCCTGACCACTACATTCTGTACTCTGGGATGGAAATCACATACTCCTGACCACTACACTCTGTACTCTGGGATGGGAATCACATACTCCTGACCACTGCACTCTGTACTCTGGGATGTAAATCACATACATCCTGACCACTCCTGACCACTGCACTCTGTACTCTGGGATGTAAATCACATACTCCTGACCACTGCACTCTGTACTCTGGGATGTAAATCACATACTCCTGACCACTGCACTCTGTACTGGGATGGAAATCACATACTCCTGACCACTACACACTCTGGGATGTACTCCTGACTGACCACTGCACATTGTTTGCAGGGCTGTATGAAGTAGTCTCCTGACCCCTGCACTCTGGGCCATTATTCATGGTGAACCAGAAACTGGATGACCTGTAAAGGCTTGTAAAGTGTCTCCTGTGAGAAATGTTTGGCCCCCAAAGATCCCCATCATGGCCCCGACACACACAATTCTTTTCACTCAATCAATTCTTTATTATAGTTTTACTTCTAACAAGATAGTAATCATAGAATCAGGAAATAACAAAGGAAGGAATCTGATTGGTCAGGAAGATCCCTTGTCTGGAATGTGGGGGCGGAGTCATTATTATTGGTGTACAATACAATACACAACGTGTTCCATTATTATAACAAAGTATTGTAGAAAAGATCCCAACATGTGACATGGCTGAATGAATGCTGGTCATATTAGTCCATCTATTCTCTAAGTGGGGTGGTAACTATTGGGCCAATCCCTTTTACAAACCACACATATTATCGCCCTTCAAAGTGAAAAGAGAAACGCTTTGCACAAAATCAAAGAGTAGAAATATTTTCCTGTGGATCCCCTCTACCCAGACCCCATATGTAGACATAGAACAACAAGCTGTGTTCCCTCTCGTGCCGCACTCCTCCAACCACCCAACCCACACAGAAGCCAAGGGAAATAATGAGAGGAAAGTTCCCCCCTAGTTTGGGGCGGAGTTCTCCTTCCCTCCTGTTGGGGGATGGGAGAAGGATGGACTGAAGACAGAGAGACGCTTCGGGGTCACCACTGTTCTGTAGAGCCTTGAAATGAAGGACATCAACTTCAGAAGTTCTTGTTGTCTGTGTAAAGTTCCCCGATAAGAGATCTGGGCTCTCCCGGCTTCTAGCTCTGTAACCCGCTATATCATTATCAGGAAACGCAACTCCGACACCCAAGAAGGGCTGAAGTTGTGTCCTTCATTTCCAGGATCTACTGACCACTCTGCACCCCGACATTTTACTGCACTTCATCCATGTCTTTGGGGGCCTCTCATCTCCTTATCAACTGTTCCTTCCATGATGAAGATCAGCCATGGAGTATATCTGAGGTGTATATCAGGGTGTGCTTCTTCCCCACGAGAGCTGGGATGTCCAGTAACATTCATCTAGAAGACATTTCCCGCACTCAAGGCACTAATACACCTCCGGGGTTGTGTGGGACCCCTGATGTACAGGAAGACAGGACTTCAGAGAGGAACAATTCCCTCACTCAGGACAGGAAAGTGACTTCTGCCCCGTGTGAGATCTCTGATGTTTGTGAAGATTAAACTTCCTTGTAAAACATTTCCCACACTCAGGACAGGAATACGGCTTCTCCCCTGTGTGAGATCTCTGATGTTTGTGAAGAGTAAACTTCCTTGTAAAACATTTCCCACACTCAGGACAGGAATACGGTTTCTCCTCCATGTGAGATCTTTTATGCACATTAAAATGGGATTTAGAACTGAAACATTTCCCGCACTCAGGACAGGAATATGGCTTCTCCCCCGTGTGAGATCTCTGATGTGTGTAAAGATTGGACTTCTCTGAAAAACATTTCCCGCACTCTAGACAGGAATACGGCTTCTCCCCTGTGTGAGATCTCTGATGTTTGTGAAGAATAAACTTCCTTGTAAAACATTTCCCACAGTCAGGACAGGAATACGGCTTCTCCCCCCTGTGTGAGATCTCTGATGTTTGTGAAGAGTAAACTTCCTTGTAAAACATTTCCCACACTCAGGACAGGAATACGGTTTCTCCTCCATGTGAGATCTTTTATGCACATTAAAATGGGATTTAGAACTGAAACATTTCCCGCACTCAGGACAGGAATATGGCTTCTCCCCCGTATGAGATCTCTGATGTGTGTAAAGATTGGACTTCTCTGAAAAACATTTCCCGCACTCAGGACAGGAATACGGCTTCTCCTCCATGTGAGATCTTTTATGCACATTAAAATAGGATTTAGAACCAAAACATTTCCCGCACTCAGGACAGGAATATGGCTTCTCCCCCGTGTGAGATCTCTGATGTTTGTAAAGATTGGACTTCACTGAAAAAGATTTCCCACACTCAGGACAGGAATATGGCTTCTCCCCCCGTGTGAGATCTTTTATGAACATTAAGTTGGTATGTAGAATGGAAAAACCCTTCCCGCACTCAGTACAGGAGAACCTCTTCCCCCCGTGTTGGAAAACAGGCCCGGTCCCGCACAGTCTGAGGTTCCTCAGGATACCTCAGGATACGAGGAATCCGATGGTCCATCTACACTGGGTGGTGCCGGATGGACATTGGAGGGAGCCGGGTTTTCTCCTGGACTATACTGTGTGATGTCCTCATCTTCTACTTTCCAGTCTGGAGACAAAGTGAGACAATCCTCGGAGGTTTTCCTCATCTCCCGGCCATGGACTAAAATACAAAGACAAAGAGGATTACTAGACAGGAGCTGATTGGTTCCCCAAACCAGGACTCCGCCCACATCAGGCAGCTTGGTCTCTGAGGAGCTTACAATTCCACCCTCAAGGGAACTAGGAAATGGCTCCTCTGATCTCCTACCAGGTCATTTCTTTATTCATGGACCTTAGTCAGAGAGTGAGGAAACAACCAGAACTGTCTTTTATAGGAGGGACAGTGATGAGGGGATTATAGGACGAGGGTCCCCACCCCCTCTATCACTCATCGCCATCTTCCCAACACAAGAAGTACTGCACTTCCTTATTTAGTCCATGATTTAGTCATGAAGAACAGCGGGGCTGAGCCCCACCAGAGGTCAGAGAGAGTGAGGATGGGGGGAGAACAACCAAGATGAAGACTGGACTGACCCTGAAGAAGACCACCATCATTGGGGTATTGACTCCCCCCATTATCACTTTCTGTTTAAGGGTCCAAAGTTGGAGGATGTTATCACATTATTATCACCATGTAAAAGTCTGTGCTCCAATCACATCATCCGATATAAAATGTCCAGCTGGGAGGAAATGGGGGGAACAAAAGAGAATCCATATTATGTATATATAGCAGTGGGGGGAGGGGGGAGAGCAGAGTCAGCAGAAGTCAGGACTATGGAATGTACAACAGAGTATATAGTGCAGGGGTCAGGAGTATGTAATGTACAACATAGAGTATATAGTGCAGGGGTCAGGAGTATGTAATGTACAACATAGAGTATATAGTGCAGGGGTCAGGAGTATGTAATGTACAACATAGAGTATATAGTGCAGGGGTCAGGAGTATGTAATGTACAACATAGAGTATATAGTGCAGGGGTCAGGAGTATGTAATGTACAACATGAGTATATATATAGTGCAGGGGTCAGGAGTATGTAATGTACAACATGGAGTATATAGTGCAGGGGTCAGGAGTATGTAATGTACAACATAGTATATAGTGCAGGGGGGTCAGGAGTATGTAGTACAACATAGTATATAGTGCAGGGGTCAGGAGTATGTAATGTACAACAGAGAGTATATAGTGCAGGGGTCAGGAGTATGTAATGTACAACACAGAGTATATAGTGCAGGGGTCAGGAGTATGTAATGTACAACATAGAGTATATAGTGCAGCAGGGGTCAGGAGTATGTAATGTACAACATAGAGTATATAGTGCAGGGGTCAGGAGTATGTAATGTACAACATAGAGTATATAGTGCAGGGGTCAGGAGTATGTAATGTACAACAGAGTATATAGTGCAGGGGTCAGGAGTATGTAATGTACAACAGAGTATATAGTGCAGGGGTCAGGAGTATGTAATGTACAACATAGAGTATATAGTGCAGGGGTCAGGAGTATGTAATGTACAACATAGAGTAATGTATAGTGCAGTGCAGGGGTCAGGTATGTAATGTACAACACAGAGTATATAGTGCAGGGGTCAGGAGTATGTAATGTACAACACAGAGTATATAGTGCAGGGGTCAGGAGTATGTAATGTACAACATAGAGTATATAGTGCAGGGGTCAGGAGTATGTAATGTACAACATAGAGTATATATAGTGCAGGGGTCAGGAGTATGTAATGTACAACACAGAGTATATAGTGCAGGGGTCAGGAGTATGTAATGTAACAACATAGAGTATATAGTGCAGGGGTCAGGAGTGTAATGTAATGTAACACAGAGTAGTATATAGTGCAGGGGTCAGGAGTATGTAATGTACAACATAGAGTATATAGTGCAGGGGTCAGGAGTATGTAATGTACAACACACAGAGTATATAGTGCAGGGGTCAGGAGTATGTAATGTACAACATAGAGTATATAGTGCAGGGGGGTCAGGAGTATGTAATGTACAACATAGAGTATATAGTGCAGGGGTCAGGGGTCAGTGGTCAGGAGTATAATGTACAACTAGAGTATATAGTGCAGGGGTCAGGAGTATGTAATGTACAACAAGAGTATATAGTGCAGGGGTCAGGAGTATGTAATGTACAACATAGAGTATATATAGTGCAGGGTCAGGAGGATGTAATATGTACAACATAGAGTATATAGTGCAGGGGTCAGGAGTATGTAATGTACAACATAGAGTATATAGTGCAGGGGGGGTCAGGAGTATGTAATGTACAACATAGAGTATATAGTGCAGGGGTCAGGAGTATGTAATGTACAACATAGAGTATATAGTGCAGGGGTCAGGAGTATGTAATGTACAATATAAATTATACAGTGTAAGAGTCAGGACTCATAATATTGGTATTCAGTAATCAGTGGAACATTAAATGTTTACTGTAGACAAGTTGCAGAGATCCCACACCGCTGCCTCCCATCTCTCCTGAGACTGCACTCAGTGACTTGGGTCTGAGACACACTACAGACATATCCCTCCCCGGCACAGCCAGCAGACCACAGAGCAAGGGGTCAACCCTGGGAGAAATATTCTGTCAGAGATCTTACTAGACCCGGGCATGGGGAAGGAGACTCAAAGCACACATCCCAGGTGCCCAGGTCTAGTAACACTTATGGTGATGAGCGAATCGAACAGGCGAACCGGAATTCGATACAAATTTCAGGAAAAATTCGATTTGCGTCGAATCCGAAATTTTGCCTACTTCGGGTGCGCGCGAAATCGAATTTTTCCCGATCAGCCGGCAAAAGTGTCCCTGCAGACAGAGAGCTCCGCTATTTCTGACATTTCTCTGACAGTTCCTTCACATGTACAGCGGTTGATTGTTGTATCTATTAGTTTCCATTTAGGATACAGATGTTTCAACCGCTGTACATGTGAAGGAGCTGTCAGAGAACTGTTAGAAATAGAGGAACTCTGCACATACACTTTTTGCCGGTTTGGAATTCTTATTTTCATCCTACTTCTTCTTCTTCTCCTCATCCTCATCCTCATCCTCAAGAAGAAGATGATAGAGGATGATAAGAAGAAGAAGAAGAAGAAGAAGAGGATGAAAATAATAATAATTCCAAGCCGGCAAAAAGTGTATCAGTAGCTCAGAGCTAAGTGTATCTGCAGATACACATTTATGGAAACAAATAGATACAATGTTTCAACCTTCTGTATGGATACATAGAGTATCATAGATCTCCATGTCTGTCCTCATAGAAGAGATAGACAGAAAAGAAGTCACTGAACTGTCCTTATACTCAAGCCTTCTCCTTCTTCTCATCTGTAGATGTCATCTATAGAGTCTTCTATCCAGGGGCCTTCTTATTCTACAAACAAATAGATCCAGTTCTCATCCTTCTGCAGGGGTCAGGAGTATGTAATGTCTCAGAATCTTCTCATATAGTGCAGGGGTCAGGAGTATGTCCATGTTCTCATCTTATATCTTCTTCTCAGGAGTATGTTCTCATCTTCAACATTCTCCTTCTTCTCATATATAGTGCTTCTCAGGAGTCTCATCCTTGTCATCATCCTTCTATATCCTTCTCTCTTCTCCTCTCCTTCTCTCATCCTTCATCAACATAGAGTCATCCTTCTCAGGGGTCTCCTTCTCTCTGGATTCATCCTTCTCCTTCTTCTCAATCCTTCCTGCAGGGGTCTCTTCTCCTACAACATAGAGTTCTCTTCTTCTCAGGTCTATCTCATCCTTCTCATCATCCTTCTCATCTTCAGTCATCCTTCTCCATCTATGTATCCTGTCCTTCTTCTCATCCTTCTTCTCATCCTAGTGCAGGGGTCAGGAGTCTCCTTCTTCTCATCATCCAACTCCTTCTTCTCATCCTTCTCCTTCTTCTCATCCTTCTCCTTCTTCTCAGGGGTCTCCTTCTCATCTCATCCTTCTCTTCTTCTCATCAAGGTCTTCTCATCCTTCTCCTTCTTCATCCTCTCATCCTTCTCTTCTCCATCTTCTCTGCCTCTCCTTCTCCTGAGACTGCATCTCAGGGATTTGGGTTGGACAGTGTTCTGCACTAATTTAAAGGCTCTCTGAAGCCTAGAAACCCTTTTTATAAGTTATCTTCGTAGCGAATAAATTCAGCATCGAATCAAATTTCTTCCTGAAATTCGCCGAATCAGCCGAATCAAATTTTTGAATACTTCGCTCATCTCTAGTGAAAATGAACATTTTGCTGCCAGCTGAACCCCAGAACCTCCATAAATCCAGTCTAGAGACATAAATTGTGTCTGCAGCACAGAGAAGGAAGATTATCCGAGAGAAATCCAGGAATACAGGACGGGGAACACAGCTCAGGAAAGTGACCAGGGGATTACAGGCTGATATCACCCAGTCCCCGCCCTACTCTACTCTGGACCAATCAGTGAGCAGTATGGGTGGAGGAATGGATTTAGTGTTCATGACCCACCTGTGCTGATCTCTGTAGGAGTGTCCTCCTCTATAAATGTCCCCGTTATTCCATCCTCCTCCATAGACTGCTGATCATCCCTCACATACGCCTCTTCTTCTTCTTCTGCTTTCACCTCAAATTCTATATCGATTGGATCTCCACTCTAAATCAAGGAAATGAGAGAAAATATCATCTGTAAAATGTAAGGTCACATAAAAAATCCACACATCATCACATGTCCATGTTCTAGATTCTCCCTCCCACCAACCTTGTAATAGTGAGGGATGGTGTGACCTTCCTGTGTGGAATCCCGGAATACAGAGGACGGGGACATCTCTCTGGTGGGTTCCTGGTATTAGGTGGCTCCATCATATCCTTGTGTCCTTCT